TGATCAAGCCCTTGCCAAGGAATGTGCAGAACCCTGTGATAGACCTTCTGGAGACCGGGCAAGTTGCCCAATCAGAATCACTAAAACCAGTTAACTGCATAGATGAATCACTGAGGTAGAATAAGCCTTGTCCTGGGGAGTTTGTAAGATACCTGAATACCCTGTGTAATGCCTTGTTGTGCACGGTTGTTGGAGCATCTTGGAATTGACACAACTGCTGCACAACAAAGGTGGTATCGGGTCTGGTGCTTTTCAAGTACTGAAGCTGTCCAAGAAGATGTTTAAACAAGGGGATATCAAGGTAAGGATCCCCATCAGATGCAGATAACACTTGTTTAACACTCGATGGGGTCTTTGCTGGCTTACATTCATCAAAGCAAGCTTCCTTTAGGAGTTCAATGCAGTATTTTTGTTGACAGACACATGAATCCCCTTGTCTGTTCTACTAACTTCGAAACCAAGAAAATATTGTAACTCTCCCAGGTCCTTTATTTTAAAGAGAGACATCACCATTGTCTTAACTTCCTTCACTGCCTCAAGACTAGCACTGCCAATCACTATATCGTCAACATAGACAATCAAAACAACTAAATGACCTTGAACATTGGATAGAAAGATGGAATAGTCTGCAAGGGACTATCTGAAACCATTACTGAGTAAAGACTCAGTTAACTTAGAATACCACATTCGACTGGCTTGTTTCAGCCCATAAAGGGACTTCTTGAGCCTGCAGACCTTACCTTTGAACTCTGGTCGATCCCTTAAACCTGGTGGCAATTCCATGTAAACTACTTCATCAAGCTCTCCATTCAGAAATGCATTATTAACATCCATATGGTGCAAGTGCCATTTCTGAACAGAGGCAATAGCTAATAGCATCTTCACTGAAGTAATCTTGGCAACAGGGGAATATGTATCACAATAATCAATTCCATATATTTGGGGTATAACCTTTTGCAACTACCCTTTGCCTTAAACCTCTCTAAAGCTCCATCGGCCTTGTATTTTGTTTTATACACCCATTTAGAGCCAATAGGCTTAACCCCTCAGGCAAGTCAGTAATGTCCCAGGTGTCATTGGCCTGGGGAGCTGTAAACTCTTCATTCATAGCTGCATTCCATCTAGGATCTTTAGCAGCTTTAGCATAACTCACTGGTTCCTCATTAGTGAGCAAAGTCAGGGCAAAGTGTTGTTGAGGAGCAGTGAGATGGGACATACTAACTTGGATCATACCAACATAAAAGTCATCATACTTCTTAGGAAAGACAGGAACCCTTGTGGATTTCCAAGGGGGATTTCATTTTTGTCTGGTACGTATTTTTCACATGGATTTAATTAAAAAAATAAAAAATTAAAGAAAATTGAAAAAGATGATTTGCCCTTTTCCATGTGTTCCCTTCGTGTTCCGACCTATCCACCCGCAAACTATTCATCTCCCTCCGTCGCCACCACACCACTATCTCTTCCGGCCAACGACCACTAGTACACTTCCCGACGAGCATTTTCTCCCCATTTATGCCCCACTCAGAATCTCACACCACCCGATTCAACCCCATTTCATCCCACACATCAAACGATGGAGAAGAGAGGGGTCCGCTTCAAGAAACCAACTCTGCCCAATCTCGCTAGCTCTCTCTATTTTGGGGGCTCATTCTCGCCGATGAGCCGAACATGCAACTTTGTGGCGATGGCGATGACTACGATTGAAGCTGTGATCGGCTGGTCGGTGGAAAAGAGTAGATGGAGATGGAACAAAGAATAGGAGATGAGCTTGCGCATGATTCCCAGATCCGCCATCTCACAACCGATCAAGTGCAGTTAACCCCCAATAGAAAGGACGAATAACGGGATGAAGCAACTAGCCAATCAATTTAAGACGGGGAAATTGTGGGGTATCTCTGCAACTAGTTCATCATTGTCACATTATATATATATATATATAGGACTACATATTCATACAAGAACAAGGCAATCAGCTGCAAATGGGACATAACACCAATCCATTCTCATTGCAGTCAGGGGCTCAATGCACCTTACCACAACCGAACTGGCACAGCAAATTCCCATACCCTTGGTAGCTGCCGCCAATATCATAACCTTCAAAATAGAACTCGAATCTTTGGAAAAAAGACCCAACCCCAATTTAGTTATGGTGCTAGCCGCTTAAGCTGTTAGTAGATACTAGCATGGCAAAATTATTGTCCACGTGCCCTAGATGGGATCTGAGGGTGGGGCAGGAGCGGCTTCGACATATGAGGGGAAGGAGTGGCTGACCAACTTGGCTGAACCAAAGCCCCCTTCCACCTATCAAGGTGGCCCCACAATTCAAATTCCACCCACTTTTTAAAATAAACCCATTTTTTTCATAAAACCCAATATTTGAGTTTTAAATCCAGCTTCTCTCAATCTCTTTCATTTCTCCGTGCATCTCTCTCTCCTCGTCTGATCTCTTTTTTTATCTTACTCATTTTCAATTCTCCATGCCCCCTCTCTCTCCTCATTTGTTCTCTCTGTTCTCAGCTCAAATTGAAGAAGCCTCCGGAGCTCAAATCGGAGAACCCTCCAAACTCCAGAGCTCCTTACAACCGAAGATCCGAAAATCGAATCTCTTAAAAATCTCATATGTGGCTGAGGCAAAAAGAAGAAGAAACAGTACAAGAATATGGTAGAGTCTTCCTCCTCCTCTCTCTCTCTCTCCTCTATTTCGTTCTCCATCTTGCTTATTATCATACAATCGAGTTTTTGAAGGCGATAGTTCTATTTTCATTTAGGAGAAAGGGGCAAGAAGCTTCAAAGGCGAGCGAGATATGACACTTTTGCAGACCCACACTGTCCTCATTAGAATATCACGAGGGGATTCGATAGAGTTTCGCTTTTCTTTTGATTTCGTTTCTTGGATTCTGATTTAGTGTTTCAAAGAAACAAGTAGTGTTTGAATGATGGATATCAGTTTAGTAGACTTGGGATACCAGTTGTTTGAATGCGGATATTGTTTCGTAATTGATTAATTGGATATTATTCTGTTACGTATAGATATTAGTTTGCGCTATGTGGATATTATTCTCTCATATTAGTTCTGTGAGGTCGAAATATTAGTAATGTGAGGTGTCGATATTAATATGTGCTTTCTGGATATTAGTTTGTTCGAATTTAGGGTTTTATGGATTCGAATTTGGGGATTACGGGTTTTGCTTGTTTATTTGGTAGATTGTTGGTATGTAATGCTAGATGGGGCCATCATGGATATCTTTTCATCAATTTGGAATATTAGTTGATGTTAGTGTTGATATTTGTTCTTTCTGCTTCGTGGAATACTTGTTCGTTACATGCTTGATATCATTTTAGAAGACATGGGATACTAGTTGTTTGAATGTCGATATTGTTTCAGACTTGATCGACTGGATATTATTATGTTAGGTCTGGATATTAGTCATGGAATGTATGGATATTCGTCTACGCTGTTATTATCCTCTAATATTAGTCACATGAGGTCCAAATATTAGTTATGTGAGGTTTCGATATTAATTTGTGCTGTATGGATATTAGTAATATTGTTTTGTTTGCTTGAATATTAGTAATGTTATGTCTAGATATCAATTTTCTCGGTCTGGATATTAGTTAGCTGATATTAGTTATGTGAGGTCATAATATTACTTAAGTGAGGTTTGGATATGAGTTTTTGCCTACTAGATATTAGTTTTGTGTAACTGAATATTAGTTATTTAATGTCTGAAGGGAAAATACAATATAATATCCATAACTATTATGTATCAGAAATTTATATCCACAAAAATCAATATACAAAGTATTATCCAATCGTTAATTGTCCGTTAATACCCCGTTAGAAGGTCTTTCTGCAATGCTGACCTGGCAAAAAAAGTTGAGGTGGAATTGAGAACGTGGCATCCTAGGTGGAATTTATTAAGTAATAATAATAAATAACATAAAACTTAAAAAATAAAGCAAATATCCTCGCCTCCTCTCACATCCACTCACCCAATTCTTATCCCAAACCCCTTTTTCTCTCATCTGTCCATCTCCCCCTTCGTCTGCGAAGACACGAAGTCGCCGACGAGCCACTCACCGTCTTGCAGGCGTGACGGCGAGACTGCCACCGCCTGAGTCCCCCCGCCCCTACTTCATCCGACGAAATCGCACAGTTGTCCCGCGAGACTTCCATCACCTGATTCCGTCGAATCATTCCAGAGCGATCAACGACTTTGGGTAGACAGATCGAAGCCAGACTGGACGATTCCCGGGACGAAGGTAAGGTGATTCTGGTTTGTTCTATCAAAAGCTTACCAATATTGAAAGATTAGGTTTTCAGTACCGATTCTCCAATTCGAACAATACCCATTCTGTTGGCTTAGGGTTGTGTTGATTCCAGCCATGCCATGTTGCCCGCTATTTATAGTTTGCTTCTTTGAAACCGTTTGTGCAAGTTGGTTGTGAGGACCACAGTGGGACCTTTTCAAATTATTCACGAAATTGCTCTTGTATCAATGTGAAAGAAATTGGAATTGGTGGATATAATGGTCAATTGCAGTGGGTTGGAATTCTAATTTCCCCATATTTTGATAACCAACACATGTGAACGAGAATATTTTATGGTTGTTGTTGTGTCTATTTGTTTTCAAGCAATATAACAACCTATATAATACTTGACCATGCAGATGACTGAATACATGGGGATTGACTACCATCACGGAGGCGAGATGGACTTCTCCGGTGATGAACCACGATATGTGGAGGGTGATTTTGAAAAATTCAACGTTGATGTTGATCAAGTGTCCTACTTTGGACTTGTGGCATTGGCTACAGTGCACTTGCACTATGAAGCCGTCCGAAAGATTTGGTACTTGACCCCGGGATCGACGATGTCTGATGGCCTGCATGAAGTTAAATCTGATAAGCATGTGATGGAGGGGCTGCTTGTTGATTCAGCCGATACTAAGTTGGTTACTGTGTATGCTGAGGTAATTGAGAAGGGAGATGGACTCATGGGAGACAACGAGCAGGCATACAACATTGTTGAGGCACATGTGGTTGGAGAGTGTTCAGCTTCTAGGGAGATATTTAATGTAGATGATTCTGACGTGGAAGAGGGATCTGAGGTAGAGGGGGCTGATATTGGTTCTGGTGAAGAGGTATCGGAGGAAGAGGGGGCTGATATTGGTTCTGGTGAAGAGGGATCGGAGGTAGAGGGGGCTGATAGTGGTTCTGATGAAGAGGGATCAGAGGAAGAGGGGGCTGATAGTGGTGATGGTGAAGAGGCAAACCAATCTCGTGCCGCTGTGGGATCATATGAGGAGGATGAGTCTAACGAAGACTTTGATCCGGATGAAGCATCAACACCTACACACAGAAGTCAGCATGTATTAGATGATGAAGAACCCGAGGACATGATGGATAATCTTCCATTTTATGATCCACTGTGTGATCACAAACAGTTTGAGTTCCATGTGGGACTTAAGTTTCTAACTGTTGAAACTTTCAAGAAAGCTGTCGCCAAACATGCAGTTTCTGTTGGGGCCAGTTGACTCGACTCTACTGTCACCCTAGGAATTGGCCAGGTGTAACCACTTCCTAAAGCGTAGTATAGCGGGTTTGGGTTTAATTATCAACCCGGGTCCTAGATATGATGACTACTCAGTGAATTCGTGTTATCTAGCAATGAAACTGGAATGCAAGTCTAAACTACCAAACAAACAAAGCAAAGCAGGTAAACGGTTGTATTCAAGTTAAGAGAGGTCACCCGGATATGGTTCCCCCTAGACTGCAGTTAAGCCGGATTGTAATTACCAAGTTCAGTTTCTATGACAGTTATACTGCGGAAGGTTCTTAAACAGCCTGAAGTCTCGACTAAAGGTCTTCAGACCCTCTCAATCTGACTCTCTAGCGGGCGACTAACCTCCACCGGAGTCGACAGATTGAGGCCCTAAGAACAAAACCTCCACTACCGGAGTAAATCCGGTACAGAATAGTGAGTTGGCTCCTCGACTAAAGTCACCAACTCCCTACCTTCAATCAAGGATACTCTATTAACCTAGGCAGATATTCTCATTCTAGGTTAAAGCAGAAACAACAGGAATTTGATCAGGATTCAAGTCATTCAATCATTTAAAACCTCAATCGAATATAATCAATCACAGAATCAATACTTGGGTTCATACAATCAAAGCCTAACATACAAATCTAGGGTTCTCCATACCCAGATGAATGGGAGAACTACTCCATGGAGAAGAAAGCAAAAGCAGAATCAGACATGGAATTCATACTGCGAAGGATGGATTCCTGCTTCTGGACGTTGATTGGCACTTCTCCAAGCTCAAGCTGGCCTCCAATGGTGTTGAAGATCAATCTAGGGCACTTGGGAACTCTTGCTCGTCACTTTCTCTCTCTAGAAGTCGTTCTTTCTCTCAAAAACTCGAATCCCCTTCTGTTTGGCTGAAAATCTGCTTAAAAAGGCATCAGCCAAAGCACGGTCGAGGGCACGGCCGTGTAATGATTTAGCCCGCCCGTAGTTTGGCTAGTGTTAATTACACTAGCAGCAGTGGGGAGAAACACGGCCGTGCTTCGCCTTGGACACGGCCGTGTAATGCTTGAACACGCCCGTGCTTTGTCTCGGCCATGCCCGTGTAATCAGCTCAGCTCTCGGCATAAAAAGCACGGCCACCAGAACACGGCCATGTAATGATTTAGGTGTGCCCGTGTTTTGGCTCCAGCTCACCGAAATGACTTCCGAATGCCCCGAAACTCGCGCTTAGCCTTCCCTTTGACACCTGGGACCTGAAACATGACAAAATAGCACAACCCGGCGTAAAATAGGCCAAAACACACGACTATGCCCCTCAAACGGATAAGAACTAGGGGCGCAAATATGTGCAATTACATCGTTATCAAATTCCCCCACACTTAACCGTTTGCTTGTCCCCAAGCAAACCTAACTCAAACCAATGCAACTCTCCAGACCTCCATAGCAACAAACAACCCAGATCGTAAGTAGAGGACTTCCTAGGTCATTTAGCAGCTTACGAGGTCAACCGACGCACAAGTCATCTCAAAGCTTCTTATCGAGTCGGCATCATGGCAAAAAGTGAACAGAGGAAAAATGAATCATGGATGGAGAGATTCTCAAAAACAAAGGATCATGGACTCACATTTTTCAAGGTGCTCGATTTTCTTTGAAGATGGTTGGAACCCCTTTTTTTCTGTTTTGCTTGTTTTCTGTTATTTTTTTTTCAAGGTCCCAACCTGCTCTTACCGGCCATGCCAGGAGCGGATGTCTCGAGCCTCGTGCGGGGGAAAGACATGTAAGGGGGCTGGAGATAGTAGGTGGAAATTGGGAACGAATTCCCGTCTCCCCTTACACACTTTCGCCCTATTCACACGGGAGACGTTTATTTTCAAGCACATTTTCGAGCACCTGTTAAAGTCAAAACATGATACAAGAGTCCATGACAGGTAGAGAATCCACAACACCACACAATTCAAGGGTCCTAAGATCACTAATTCACTCAATTGTGCATCAACATCCTCCATTGTGCTACACTACCTCCCTAGGTTGCATATTACTATAAAGACTGTCAATTCAAAGCATACTGAGCAGGCAATTGCAAGGAAACATGTACTTGGAGCCCTCAAATTTAAAAATTTGGACAGTGGACTAGGCTCCAAGCACACAAACAGATCTAATGCAGTCAAAAGATAAACACCCCCCACACTTAAGATCGACATTGCCCTCAATGGAGAAGAGGGAAGGATAAGGGAACGATGTTACCGGTATGCACGGACTGCAGGAGACTGGAAATGGGCCAGTCGGGGCAAGCACAGCCGAAGGGAAACAGAAGAGCTCAGACGCAATATGTTAGGTTCAATGGTCGGCCCAATAAAATATCATCCAAACCAAAAGAAAACAAACCAAACCCAAACCGGGTTACAATCCGATGCAAAACACAAGAAAGAAAATCAAACCGAGGTGGGGTTGCCTCCCCACAAGCGCTTCTTTACCGTCGTATTAGCTGGACGCCCATGGTGGATACTCAGGGCGGTGCAGGAACAGGTTCCTCCAAGAGCGGATCCACGTCGCTCTTGAGGTACAACTTGAGGTTGTGGCGGTGCACCCGACGGATGCGACCACCATCATCAGTCAGCTCGACCTGCCCATCTGGCAAGATGCAGGCGAGTGAATACCCGGACGGCCAGGGTGGTCGTGGTGCAGGAGGTGGGACCAGCTCATAGTGGTCTCCACTCTTCTTTCGTGCAGGCTTAGCAACCTGCTGCTTCGGCCTCCACTCCTCCTTGAGCTTTTTGTTCGGAGGTGAGGCTGGATGGAGTGGCGGCGAAGGAATGATAGGAGGGTCCTGCAAAATAGGAGGTGCAGAAGGATACACGATAGGCTCGTGTACCTGATCAGACATAGCATGCACAGGCGTGACATCAATCATAGCACAGTGATCAAACTCAGTCACAGAAAAAGTAGCCTGTTCATTTCCAGCACGCAATATCAGTTTACCATCATGCACATCAATAAGTGCCTTGGCGGTGGCAAGAAATGGCCTACCTAGAATCAAAGGCACATCCACATCCTCATTTACATCCAGAATAACAAAATCAACAGGATATGTGAATGCACCAACATGAACAAGCAGATCCTCTATGATTCCCCTAGGATGCACAATAGAACGATCAGCTAATTGAATGCTCATCCTAGTAGGGCTAAGTTCACCTAGGTCTAGCATTTTATACAACTTATATGGCATGACGTTTATGCTAGCGCCTAGGTCCGCCAAGGACTTGCCTACATGCATGCTGCCAATAGTAAGAGGGATAGTAAAACTCCCTGGATCCTTGCGCTTCTCGGGCAGCTTGTTCTGCAGGATAGCAGAACACTCCTCGCTCAACAACACTGTCGAGAGATCCCCAAGTTCCTTCTTGTTGGTGCAGAGATCTTTCATGAACTTGGCATACTTGGGCATCTTCGACAGTGCCTCCACGAACGGTATGCTGATGTTGAGCTGCTTCAACATTGCCATGAACTTGGCAAACTCAGTCTCCAGCTTGTCTTTGTGTAGGCGAGTGGGAAAGGGAAGCTGGGGCACATGCTCCTTAACCACTGGTTGTGGCTTGGGAGCAGGGGCTTCCTTCTCCACCCGCACTTCTGCATCGTCGGCTGGAAGTGCTGAAGCAGTCAGTGGTACCTCCTGTCTGGCCGGGACAGGATCAGCAGATATGGTTTTACCGCTCCTGGTAAAAATGGCATCCAGCTGCTGATGCTGGTGAGGATCTCGAGGATTCGGGACAATGGTGGCAGGCAAAGTCTCCGGTGCCCTGGTCGTGGTCTGGCGGGCCAAGATGCCCACCTGGGTCTGCAGATCCTGCAAAATGGCACCCTGGTTCCTCTGACCTGCCTCTAGTGAGGCTACACTCTGGTCCAACCTCGTGATAGTCGCCTGAGTGCTCGTCATGAATGAAGCTAGAATGTTTTCCAGCTTCGTCATCCTGTCATCTGGGGCTGGAGCTGCTGCTGGCTCGGCAAACTGGCGCTGGGGCTGCTGGAATGGCTGCCCCTGCCTAGGCTGGAAGGGCTGTCTCTGCTGAAGACCACCTGCTGGTGCTGGGAAACCAGGTGGTTTAGTGGTGTTGCTGCTCCAGGCGAAGTTGGGATGCTGGCGCCACCCCTCATTATATGTAGTGCTGTATGGATCGAGGCGCCGTGCATTGGCGATGACGGCCAACTGCTCCTGGGGTGTGGTAGACTCCCTCATAGCCTGGCAGTCCTCCACTAGGTGATTGGAGCTCTCACACCACTGACACTGAGCAACTGGAGGTGTAGCCAAACCTCTGCCCGGAATAAGACTGTTGGGCTGCTTCAATGTCTGCACCAGCTCAGCTACCTGCTGCTCGAGCCCGGATCTGGTCTCCATGGCGTGCACACCACGGTCCTTGGAATGTCTGCCTCTGCTGCTCTGCCCCCAGGAATGATCTCTGGCAGCCAATGTATTAATCATCTGGTTCAGCTCGGGTGGAGTCTTAGTGAGAATATCCCCTCCTGGGCATAGAGACTCAATCACCCTCTGGCTATCTGGAGAGAGGGCAATGTAGAAGTTCCCCACTGTGAATGCATCGCTGAAGCCATGATGGGGGCACTGCCAGAAATAGCCCATGTACCGCTCCCACGCATCACGAAGTGACTCATCTGGCTCTTGGCGGAAGTGAGTGATCTCCCGCTGGATCTCTGTAGTCTTCGATGCCGAATAATACCTGTGCACGAACTTGTCCGCCAGATCGTCCCAAGAGGTGATGGACAATGGGGGCTGGGTCTCCAACCACCTCTTAGCATTCCCCGCCAGAGAATGTGGGAAGAGATGAAGGCGGATCGCATCATCCGGGACACCATTCAGCTTGAACCCGTTTGTCAGCTGCAGAAAACGGGACAGATGTACCCTGGCCTCCTCATCCTTCAAGCCATGAAACTGGATCGAGGATGTGATGAGCTGAATCCAGCATGGCTTGATCTCGAAGTTGTTTGCTGGGATCG